GTGTGTGTGTGTGTTCGTGTAGACGTAGGTATAATAATATTGCATGCATTTCTTAGCATGTGCCTATTAACATAGACGTTAGATACATATTTTTTTCTTTGCAAGGAGGAGTAAAGAATGAATTCCAGGGAAGCAGCCCAAATCAATGAACGTCTTACGTCTTTGGGGCTTTTAATTTTAACTTTGGCTGGGAGAATTATAAATGTATTGTTCAGGAGAGCCATACAAATTTATTCATCTCAACTCAACAAAGAAGGAATATTCTGGCTGTCTTATCTCCCGATGAAAATCTCCCTGAATGTAATTCCTTTGGTTTTGTGTGGATTTTTGGTTTTTGGTTTTCTGTTTTCTTTTTTCCACCAGGTAATGTTAGGTTGATAGCTTCCTTCTTGCTTCTGTGTGATAAGATCCTGTACCATCTACCCCTCAAACGCTTCTGTCAAATTAAATTCTCCCACAAATAAACGTTTTTTTTAAATAATGCATTACACCCATAGTCTAGTACTGTCTTATCATATTCATCTGTGTTCTGAATAGCATAAAATAAATACTTCTTTAAAAAATTGTACTGAATGATTTACTGTTTCGCTTTTGTCTTACTTTTGTGTATTTCTGATTTGTTATTTTCAGGTGTAAAGGTGTATGCCATATCTTTCTTGAATTCTTTTCACTGTCTTTTCTTTATCCTTTGGGAGCTTTTTAACATAAATTTAAAATTTGCATTTGCTTTTTTGTGCCCCTAGCTTAGCCTTTGGCGAGGCGTTATAACAGTTGTTGTGATTGAAAAAACTGATTAGATCTAGATCTACGCTTTCTCTTTTCTTCTCCTCTCTGTTAATTTGTTTGGTTTCTTACTTTTTAGAAAAATGTCTTTTAGTGTGTTCCTTCATTTTTAAATCATTAAAGAAATGCTCCATACAGAAATGCATTGAATGACTGTTGAAATGCTTAAAGCGACATTCACGCCTGAAACGTTATTTTTGAGTCGGGGACGCAGAGAGGCACTTTTTTAGAACCGGGAGTGTCTAGGCTCAGAGATTGCAGCTATTCAGTTGTGTATTTTATCTTGATGAAAATCTTCCTTATCTAAACGTTTATAAAGATTTATGTATGTTATTCCTCACCCCAATACTTGTCACATTGTCTACATAACCTTTATTGACACATACAACGCTCAAAAGCTATGTCATAAAACGTGAAACGACAAAATACCAGTCAAAGTTTGTGGGAAAAGATCGGCAAAATGATTTTTAGGAGTTAAAGGTGCTAGGGTGGGCGTGAGTTCGAGTTTGTGCGTTTGTTTGGATGCTATATGTGTGACTGTCTATGTGTATGTGTGTGCGTGTGTATGTGTGTGTTTGTGTGGGTGTATGTGTGTGTGTGTGTGTGTGTGTGTGTGT